CAGGCACCAAGAGGTCGCCGATTCTATTCCCGGTCACGGCACATACCCAGGTTGTGGGCCTGATCCCCAGTCGGGGGCATGCAGGAGGCAGCCAATCAATGTTTCTATCTCCCTCCCCCTCTCCCTTCCTCTCGCCTCAAATCAATAAAAAAAAAAAAAAGATATTTTTTTAAATGATCAGAGAAATGCAAATAAAAACCACAATGAGGTATCATCTCATACCTGTCAGGATGGCTATCATGCAATACATCAACAAACAACAAATACTGGTCGGGATGTGGAGAAAAAGGAACCCTCATGCACTATTGGTGGGAAATGCAGATTGGTGCAGCCGCTATGGGACAGTAGGAAGATTCTTCAAGAAATTAAAAATTGAGCTGTCATCTGACCCAAAAATTCCACTTCTGGGTATCTATGGAGACACTAATTCAAAAAGATATATACAAAAGAACCCAATTAAAAAATGGGCAGAGGACACTTCTGCAAACAGGACATACAAATGGCTAAGAGACATATGAAGAAATGCTCAACATCACTAATCATCAGAGAGATGAAAATTAAGACAACAATGAGGTATCACCTTACGCCTGTCAGAATGGCTGCCATCAGCAAATAATCAAACAGCAAATGTTGGCGAGGGTGTGGAGAAAAAGGGACTCTAGCACACTGCTGGTGGGAATGCAGTCTGGTGCAGCCATTATGGAAAACAATATGGTGTTACCTCAAAAAATTAAAAATTAAACTGCCATTTGACCCAGTGATCCCAATTCTAGGAATATACCCTAAGAAGCCCTAAACACCAATCAGAAAGAATATCTGTACCCCCATGTTTGTAGTAGCACTATTTACAATAGCTAAGATCTGGAAACAGCCCAAGTGTCCATCAGTAGATGAATGGATAAAAAAGCAGTGGTACATATACACAATGGAGTACTATGCAGCTGTAAGAAAGAAACATCTCTTATCCTTTGAGACAACATGGAGGGACCTGGAAAGTATCATACTAAGCAAAACAAGCCAAACAGAGAAAGACAAGTATCATATGATCTCACTTATTTGTGGAATATAATGAACATAACAGTCTGAGGAATGGGGTAGTCCCAGAAATGTGGAAGCGGGGTACAGACTGACAATCCCCAGAAAAGGGGGTGGTGGGGGAGAGATAAACCACAGAACTTATATGCATGTATGCATGAACAATGGACATGGACAACAAATCTGGGGACAGGGCGGGGAGTGGGGGGAGGGGGGAATCAGTGGGGGGAAAGGAGAAACATATGTAACAAAAATTAATTAATTAATTAATTAAATTGAAAAAATAATAATAAAATAAAATAAGAGATATACATCCCAATGTTCATTAGAGCATTACTTACATACAAGAGCCAAGATATGGAACCAGCTTGTGTCCTCTGTTAGGTGACTGGATAAAGAAGATGTGATATATGCATGTATACAATGGAATACTAATGAGCCATAAAAAAATAAAATCTTGCCATTTGTAACAAATTGATATATCTAGAAAGTATTACGCTAATGAAATAAGTCAGACAAAGACGTATACTGTATGATTTCATTTTTATGTAGAATCTAAAAAAACACACACAAATGAATAAACAAAGCATAACAGAAATAGATTTACAAATATGAAGAGAACAAACTGATGGTTGCCAGAGGGTGGGGATAAAGAGGAAAAGGTGAAGGGAACTAAGAGGTACAAACTTCCAGTCCTAAAATAAATAAATTATGGAAATATAATATACAGCATAGGGAATATAGTCAATAGCATTATAACAATTTTGTACAGTGAGAGATAGTTACTAGACTTATCTTTTTTTTTAATCCTCACCCAAGGATACTTTTTTTATCTTAAGATAGAGTGGGAGGGAGGAAGAGAGAGAGAGAGAAACATCAATATGCCCTTGACCGGAATCGAACCAGCAACTCTTTGGTCCACGGGCCAAACCAGCCAGGGCTAGACTTACCTTGGTGTTCACTTTATAAAGTATATAAATGTTGAATCACTATGTTGTACACCTGAAACCAATATAATAACTATACTTGAATAAAAAATAAAGGTAGACATCTGATATATCTACTTGTACCACTTTTTTTCTATAAACATAATATTGCTGGGTCTTCTTTATTTTTCTCAATGAAAAGATCAGTCATTTTATTGGTGAGTTTCATCTGTTAGCATTTTTCACAATCACTTATTATGTGTTAATTAATCATTAACACTTATATCTGTCACCTTAATTGCTGTTCTCTATGTTTAACTGTTTCTTCTTTTTTTCTCTATTTTCTGTTGAATGGGTCAAAGTTACTTCTGTGAAGTTTATGTTCTATTTTTATTCTTGTGGTTATTTCTAAATTGTTAAGACCCGTGCTTAGGTTTTTCTCCATCAATTACTAAATTTAATCAATAGCAATATCTCCTTTGCAAAGACACCAATCACTTAGGTGTTTTCAATTCTGGTCCCCTAACCTTCATCATTCCATCAGTTTGTTATATTCTAGAACTTGATACTAGATCAATATACTTTTTTCCCTCATGGGACATTGCTTATTTAGACAACAGATCTTACTGAGTTGCTTACTCTCCAGTAATTTTCATATCAAGTACCTTCTCTGGAGTTATTCATCATTTTTGTTGAAATACTTTCTCCAACAAATTATGGCTGTATACAGTATACCTTCTGAGGCCTTTTATGCCAGAAAACATCTTTATTTTGCTCTCACGCTTTAATGAGAGTTCAGTTAGAAATAAAAGTCTAGATTCTGATTTTTTTAAATACTTTAGAAATATTACTCTAGTTTTGCTATTAAGAAGGTAAATGTGGCCCTGGATGGTGTTTCTCAGCCTGAGCACTGAAGCACTGAAGGGTCATGGGTTCAATTCCCAGTCAAGGGCATGTACCTGGGTTGCAGGTTTGATCCCCCGCCCTGGTCAGGGCATGTGCAGGAGGCAACTAGTCAATGTGTCTCTCTCACATCGATGTTTCTCTCACCGTCTCGCTCCCCCTCCTTCTCTCCCTTATACTTTCTCTGAGAAATCAATGGAAAAAATATCCTCAGGTGAGGATTAACAAAAAAAAAAAAAAATTTTAATAAAAGGTAAATGTGAATATAATTATTGTTCCTTTATAAATGACCTACTTCTGTGTCTCTGGAATTTTCTTTTTCTTAAATTTCACCACAGGGTATCAAAGAGATGATATTTTTCCTTTTATTTCTCCCGTTTGGTACACAATAAATTCATTTAATCTCTTTCTAATTGTGGAGAAATTTCAATGAGTATTACTTCAAATATTTACCTTCTGTTTATGTTATTTTCCCTCTTTCTGGGCCCCTATTAATCAAATACTGACACTTTCTCCATTTTTTACAACCTTTAATTTTTCTCTCATTTTCCAGTTCTTTGTTTCTTTTTGATGCCTCCAAGAATGTTTCAAAACCCGCTCCATCTCATTAATTCACTCATCAACTGTATTCATTCAACCCAGGAATTTTTTAATTTCTATGACATCTGATTGGTTCTTTTTTTATAACTTCTTGTCCCTGTTTAATGTTTCCAATGCCCTCCTATAAGCTCTTGAGAACATTTATAGGATTATTATAAATTCTTATTTCTCTAGCTCATTAGTTCAGCTCCCTCTGGAATTAGTTGTTCAGTTTGTGATCTCTCCTTTCCAGTGCTTTACATCAGCGTTTGTCAGATGTCTGTTTTTCCTGTTCCTTTCGGAGGATCAGCTACAGTTCTTAAGTTCTCAGTCCACCCATTTCCCACCTTCTGAGGCATCTCCAGAATTAGACTCAGCAGCGGAAAACCTCAATTGCTTTAAGTCCCCATCTTGACTCTCCTGTAGCATAAACTAAACTTACAGCCCTCAGGTGTGGTCTGCTTTGGCATGGGTCTTTTCATGTTCAGTAGAATTGGACTATGTCACAAGATCCCCAAACATTTTCCATTTCTTTATGGAATGAGTTATGGTTTTCTAGGGGTATGGGAGGACTAATAAAGGTTCAGAATGGCAGATAACAATAGAAAATGTGATTATTACCAAAATTTCTCGGAATGTTAATATTTTGTGATTGTTGCTGTGAGTTTATTTTCCTTCCTCCTCTTCACAGACCTGTATAACATAATTTTTATTTCAAAAATTATCAAAATTTAGTTTTGAGGATTTCTGAACTGAACACTATCGAACCCCCAGGATGGGTTTTACAAAACCTTGTTTGAATATTGCTGATCTAAAACTATGATATAAATTGGTTTGGCATGTTCTGTGAAATTAGTTTTGCTTCCATGTTTCTGATACATCAGTATTTGTATCTCACCAGACACCTGTATAGATATCTAGCCTTTTCTTTTGATGTGACAATCACTTATTCAACAAATATTTGCCACACTATTGTTCTAATAGCCAGGTGCCCAGCAAAGACACGGCCCCTGCCTTCACAGAGCGTTACAGTCTAACAAAGACTCTAGATTGAATGTAGGTTCTGTTAGAACAGGGTTTTTTTGTTTGTTTTTGTTTTTGTATTGTTTTCCAGTGTATCCCAGGTACCTAGAACAGTGCAAATGTTGGCTGAATGATAAACAAGTAAATATTTGACACTAATTACAAGTGTATTGAACATTATGGAGGGAAAGTACAGGTGTTGTGGAATATATAAACAGGAGGACATACCTTCTCTGGGGGATCACATAGAATTAGTTCTCTGACAGAGCTATCTCTTTAAAGTGGTTTTTTCAGGCTCACTTAAACAATCAGTACCTATTTTCTATTCAGGCCACCCTCCTGTTATGCATGAAGGCTTGAAACACCTTGCATTTTTCAGTAATTGATTTCTGTAAATAAGAAGTTAGAGAAATTGCTTAACAATGCCCTATATTTATAGAAATAAAAGAAAAATCACAGTTCAGTAATGCTGATTTGTGTTTCTTACCCCTTGCCTGCCCACTCCCCCACCCCGTTTTCTTTTCTAACTTGCAGACGAAGGAGCTTCCATGCACCCTTGTGATGATACGTACTGTGGACCTTACCCAGAATCTGAGCCAGAAGTGAAAGCTGTAGCTAACTTCCTTCGAAAACACAAGCAGCACATTAGGGCTTACCTCTCCTTTCATGCATATGCTCAGATGTTGCTGTACCCCTATTCTTACAAATATGCAACAATCCCCAATTTTAGCTGTGTGGTAAGTATTTGACCCTGCACCTGTGTGTCAGGCTTCATGCTTCTAAGATGATTCTAAGTAGTTAACGATAGTAGCAAACATATGTTGTATTTATTCTAATAAACATTGTGTGTGTGTGTGTGTGTGTGTGTGTAAACTCATTAATTTTTTTATAATCACATAAGGTGTAAAACTATTATTATGCCCCATTTTACTGATGAGAAAGACTGAAACTGAGAGAAATTAAATATTTAGACTAAGAACACCCAGCTACTAAGTGTCAGAGCCAAGATTCAACCCCAAATCTAGCTCCGGTGCTGTTGCTGTTAACCGCTGTGCTCTGCTGCTTCTCAGATGCAATCCTTTCAAACCTATTTGCATTCTTACCACATGTTACATAGAAAATGTCAGGATGGATTGGATTAATATCGCAGCTTCTATCACATGTGCATGGCTGTGATTAATTTTATTGAGTAAATAATTGCTCATAAATGATGGTCTGACTCATTAATTAAAAGCAAGTTTTAATTTATAAGCACTATTTTCTTAATGCTACTAAGTCTCTGGGCATGTATCTGACAAGTTAGTACTAAGAATAAACAGCCTTTCTTATATAAGGTTACTTAAAAGTGGAAAAGCAATATTCTTTACTCTCCTCATCTCCATAACCCCACAAGCTACCCACTATAGGCATAATTCCTTGTAAAGGGAGTCTGGTTCAGTGCCTATGGTTTCTAAAGGCCTGTCAAGTTAAAAACCAGGCCAAACTAATATATAGTGTTAGAAGTGAGGAAGAGGGAGGGAACAGCGAATGAGAAGAAGCATGGGAGGGCTTTTGGGTTGCTGCTGATGTTCTATTCCTTGACCAGGATGGGGTCACATGAGTGTGTGCAATTTGTGATCATTCACTGAGCTATACACTTAAAACCTGTATAGTCTCATGTATGTATGTTATACTTTAAAAAGTTTTATAAAGGAGAAGCTTCTTCTTTCTGCCTATACCTTGAACTCTACATCCTGTACCAGTGGCCTGGGGTTGTAGAAATTCCTGATCTAGATGCCCAGGACTGGAAGGAATAGGGAACGTGAGGAAGACAGAAAAGGGCCTGAAGGAAGGCTTGTATTCTCTCCAGGAGAGGAACTGTGTTGTTGGCATTCCAAGCAAGAATTCTGAGCAAATTCTCTCTCTTGAGAAATACTGTGAAGGTGGTAGTCAGATAGACTTTTTGTTGTTATTGGTGTTGACTTGGCACCTTAACCACCTTGCATCACAGTGTTTCTATAGGTAAATGTTCAGTCCTTTCTAAACTGGGCACAGTGTCTACTTATATGCTCACAACAGATTATATAGTGTATACAATATATTAAAACTGCTACATGAGAATGTTCTCCACATTTTGAATTCATCTTCCTGCTAGAAGTAAAGGCTATTTTCTCTTTGTCTTGGATTGGGGGCTGTGGTATAAAGAGTAGATTCATTTTTCAACCAAGGATTAATTTTTCTCACAAGGGACATTGGATAATGTTGGAGACTTTTTATTGTCACAACAGGGCCGAGGATTCTATTGACATCTAGTGCACAGAGGTCATGGATGCTGCTGAACATCCTATAATGCACAGGACAGCCTCCCACTGAAAAGAATTATTCAGTCCAAACTGTCAGTGATGCCACTTGTGAGAAGTCCTGTTAGTGGGTTACATACAAGCTAAATCACTAAAACCAAGATTACAATTCTCAGACGCTCAATAGTCTCTGAATGCCAACCAGAAACCATTAAATTCTATTAACACTGTTCAAAATCACTCCATCAACATGTTGGAGTCTGTGTTTCTGCTAACATTTGTATGTCATTCATTAAGTTGCTATAAATGTGGAAACATTTAAATAAAAAATATATTCTTTTCTTAACTGAGGTCTGAAAAGTGAGGCCTGGGTCCTTTCAGACAATTGGAAAGAAAAAGCAATGGAGCCCTGGCCAGTTTGGCTCAGCGGTTAGAGCATCGGCCTGCGGTCCAGAGGGACCTGGGTTCGGTTCCCGCTAAGGGCATGTACCTTGGTTGCAGTTTGTCCCCGGCCCTGGTTGGTCGTACGGGTGGCAGCCACTCGATGTGTCCCTTTCACGTCGATGTTTCTCTCTCTCTTTCTGTTCCTCTCTCCCCCTCCCACTCTACCTGAACAAAAAATGAAAAAATGTCCTCGGGTGAGGATTTAGAAAAAAAAGCAATGGAGATAAGAGGAAGCAAGTAAATCCTCTCAGTTAGGTGTCCAGCTGTGCCAACCAGGAAAACAGTTCTCTAAAAAATTTTGCTGATGCTTCCATTTTCTGTGAAAGGATCACATCTAAACCTCTTATCTATGCACGCCCACACCGAAGGGCAGAAGGGCATAAGCCAGAAAGCCTAAAACTATGTGCATGGTTTGTGAACACAGGCAAAGTGGATATCTGGTTGTTGTTTTTTTTCTTAGCAATTTATTTTCTTGGGTTTTAGTCATCTGAAATAATGAGGAACGAGGGTGTCCACACCAGCAGAATGCAGTAATCTCCGAAATGTAAAAATATCTGCCCTCGTCATGGTATATTTCTGTGACTGTTGGATAAGATGTTAAACTATTAGAACATTCTCCATAAAGATACCTGTTGGCTCCTGAGAGGAGAATGCCAGCGTCAGTAAGATCAATAATAAATTGTCTGCCAGGTTCCAGAGCCTGGTCCCTGAATATCCACAAAGGGTGGCATTTGCTACAAATGCTGCTTAATGCCTCCCTGAGGTGAATAAGGACAGCAAGCTGAAGCCGGGTCCAACACACAGCCCACGCTGCCCAGAGTGCTTCAGTTGATATATTAAATTATTCATAGGCAAACTGAAATGGGAGACTGGTTTCAACATACTTCTTTACCTCTCACTGGTCATACAATACTTCTCTAGCTCCTTGCTGAGACGTATTCTTGTACACCATTTGAAATGTTTTCACGAGTAGTCGGTATCATTCTAGTTCATGCTAGAATATTTGCCTTTTAGTATTTTGATTGTGTTGAATCTTTTTTCTGGTTTTTGGTATTGGTAGGAAGGGTTTCACCTCAAAATTTCTACATCTCAGAACTACTGACTCTCTCTGTCAGAGGCATATGGAACTTTAGAAGTCATGGAGCATTCTGAAACTGTTCCCATTCCCAGTTGGGATAAACATGTAACGTAAGACAAGTCATTCTTACTGAATTAAAGAGCTTCTTAATTGATCCTCATGTGTTTGAAATGCCTTGTACATCACCACTGAACTATGTACTTAAGGATCAATAAGATTATGTTGATTCTCTTGCTGATCTATGCTTATTCAACATTCATGCAAGACATATTGATTAAGCATCTATTATGTACAAGCACATGGCTAAAGACTGAGAGGGGCCCTGCCCTATCAAGTGTTTTGTAATTTATAGAAATAAGTGTCTCTGAACAAATGTGAAGAAGACAGAACCCTAAATCAGCATCAGAAGATATAAGTACTTATCTACTTATCACAACTCAACCCCTCCTTCCTGTGTAACCCCAGCCTGCCCACCTCACCTCACTGAGACTTCCTTTTCTCATCTGTAAAACAGAAATATTACTGATCACCGGCTTGTCATGAGGAGCAATCAAAGGAAATGTGTCCTAAAACATATTGCGAAATGCAGCATGTGGCAAGAATAACATAACATTATTATTAAATGTAGCTATTAACTAATGTGTTCATCCTTATGCTTCAAACTTGTGACTAACAAGGCCCAAACAACATGCCATTGTTTCCAAAGGTTTCGATGCAATGAATATGAGAGACAGAATTTCTCCATTCTTCCCTCGCAGGAATCGGCAGCTTATAAAGCTGTGAATGCACTTCGCTCGGTGTATGGGGTACGGTATCGATATGGACCTGCCTCCAGCACATTGTGTAAGTTTGTGTAAGTTTCCTGTGTATGTTGTATTAGAGTCATTTCTTGAACCACTCTCCTGTATAATGACTTCCCTTTAAAAAAAAAAAAGGAAATTTTTGACTACCAAATTAGCCAAGGAAGATGAAGGGAGTTTATATCCGATTAGTTTTATACTGCTCGACAGAAATCACTGCACCAATTTAAATAAATTTAAAGCAGAGAATATTCTAGTCATGTAGTAATAACTACATAGTTGAATTGAGATCTTATGACAGTAGAAAGTACCGAAAGGGGCTCCTGAAGCAATCGTAAGCACTGGAAGCCTGGAAGCGGGCCTCGGGGAAATCATGAGGCAATGTTCCAGCCTGAACAGAGCTTCCCTTTTATTCCTTGCTTCCACCGTTCTTGTTATGAAATTCTCTTTCTTACATAGCATCTTCAGCTGAATTTTCCCGTAAAAAGTGATTGAGATGTTTTGTATTTTATATAAAATATCGAACAATTGGGTAGATGGAAAGAACTCAAAGAATCAGGACACATGGATTCTAGTCCTAATACTGCCACCCCTCAGGATATAATCCTGGTCAAGACATTAATCCTGGGCTTCAGTAGAGAAGTCAGTTAAATGAGAAGTCAGACTAGATCATGTCTCATGGCCTTCCACACTCTAAAAGTCATTGACTATATGACTTGGAAAATCTAGTGAGAAATCCTAAATATCTGAATGTCTATGTATACACACACACAGACCATGTATATACACTTTATGCCGATTATGCTTTATGGTGAGGTAGCAAATTTCTCCTGATCTCTGCAATCTACTCATCACTATATTCATAGCAATGTACTTTCTTCGACCTTCAGAAGAACTGCTTGGTTTGTCAGTTAACACTATTTATCAAATAAGTTTATGCTAATAATGAGAATATCCTAAGTACCAGAACTTTTTTCAAACTCCATGATCATTGGTCTCAGGCTGACCTTTTTAGAACAATAAAGCTCCCTAAAAGGGGAAATACAGTATTTTCTTTAAATCATATTACAGACTTCCAGTCAAGATTCCAGAGTAGGTACACTATGTGCTCACCTCCTCTCAGGGCCACATCAAATTACAACTAAATTGTAAACAACCACCCTTGAGAACCACCTGAGGACTACCTAAACAGAACTCCTGTAACTAAGGATATAAAGAAGAAGCCACTTGGAGACTGGTAGGAGGGTTGGAGACACAAAATGGGCTGGTCTCACACCCACATGTGGAGGTTACAAATCAGGAAGGATATCTCGGCTGCAGAGGCGTGCCTGAGAAACCAGGGCTCCCAGCCCCACGCTGGGCTCCCCAGCCCAGAGTACCAGTTCCAAGAAGAGTCCCCACAACATATGGCTGGGAAAATCAGCAGGGATCTGTCCAGGTGACATGGAGGCTGCTGTAGACCTAGGCATCCTTTTAAAAGGCCCACACAGAGACTTACTCCCACTCACCCTAAGTTACAGTGAAGGAACGACTGAAAAAGTCACAGGGACTTATGGGGAGGAAATGAATTGACTGGGTTCGGGGTGAGAGCCAGAGAGGCAGCTCTCTCCAAGGACAGAAGTGCTGGCAGGTGCCATTATTCCTTTGTTGAGCCTGTAAGTGTAGGCAGGCAACAAATCTGAGTCCCTATCAACCTGGCTACGACCACTTGCGCCACCCTGGTGATTCCGAGACCCTGAGTCGAACCACTTTCAGACACTGTTCCACATAAGCAACCAGCCTTGGCCCAAGCTGAGGACTTTACTAAAATCTTTCAAAGGTCTACAAACCCAAAACAAGCAGTGTCTGGCCTCAGCATGCTCTGTACTTCTTGCCAAGTGGCCCCAAGCTCAGGACTAATGGCAGCCACCCTCTGTCACAGCATAGCCTCTCTCAGGCACCTCCAAACCCAGCACAGGCAATGGCAGATCACCTGAATAGACATTTAACCAAAGTGGACGTACAGATGTCCAATACACATATGAAAAGATTCTCAACATCACTAATCATCAGAGAAGTGCAAATTAAAACCAAAATGAGATATCACTTCACATCTGTCAGAATGGCTATTCTCAATAATTCAACAAACAAGTGTTGGTAAGGATGTGGAGAAAAGGGAACTCTTGTGCACTGTTGGTGGGATTTCAAACTCATGCACCAATATGGAAAATCGTATGGAGGTTCCTTAAAAACTGCAAATTGGAACTACCATATGATCCAACTATTCTGCTTCACAGTATTTATTCAAAGAAATTTAAAACACTGTGAAAAGGTATATGCATTCCTATGTTCATTACAGCATTATTTACAATAGCAAAGATATAGAAGCAACCTAAGTATCCATGGATAGATAGTCCATGGATAAAAGAGTTGGTACATATATTTAATAGAATATTACTCAGCCATTAAAAAAGAATTCAATCTTGCCATTTGCAACAACATGGATACACTTGGAGGGTATTATGCTGAGTGAAATAGGTCAGACAAAGAAAGACAAGTACATATGATTACACTTATATGTGGAATCTAAAAGACAAACAAAATAGAAATAAACTCATAGATACAGAGAACAGATGGTTGTCAGATGGGAGGGGGTTTGAGGAGCTGGGTGTAAAAAGGGAAGGGCTTATGAAGTACAAATTAGCAGTTACAAAATAGTCACAGGGATGTGAAATACAGTATAGGAAACATAGCTGATAATATTGTAATGGTTCCAGGTGATGCTAGACTTATTGGGGCAGGGGATATCTTCATAAGGCATATAAATGTCTAATCACTATGCCATAAACCTGAAACTAATATAATTTTGAAAATCAACTGTAATTAAAAAATTAAAAATTGTACATGTGAAAAATCACATTACCAATTAATAGCACTATATATTAACAATCTTAAAACATTTTAAAAATCTTACACTTCACCTTTGCAGCTTGATATCAAGGCACAGTCATAGTATGATATTTACCGAGAAGAACCAGTTACCATAGAAATGAGGCTGTCACATGACCATGAGGTAACTGTTGGCACATATTGTCTCAGACTTTGGCTACTATGACTACTATTTGTAGTTCCAGTGCACTCTAACCTAGAGGGACAATGAAGCCACAGCCAACCTTCTGCCCTTAACTGAAGCAAGAGGAGCCTGAGAAACAGCAGAATCTTCTAATTGTCATTTTCCTATAGTAATTCTTTCTCTAACTTGTCCTGGTAAAATAGTCTAAAAAGTGGTATTTCAGGAGTTGATGAATATACTCTGAAATTTTTAAAATAATAATGTATGTCAGCTAAATCATATAATTTTCAGGAGAAAGGTATATAAAAATTATTCTATGGCACATGTATTCATTTATTTTAAAATTACTAAGAACATGTTAGGCTAAAAACTACATACTAGGCACTTTGGAGTGTAAAGATGCAAAATAATAACAGCTACTAGAGGCTAAGCACAGTATTTTATTTTATTTTCACCACCCTATGCAGTGGGTATTACAATCCCTTTCTCAGAAAGGGAGACTGAGGCCCAGAGCGGCATGGGTGGGAGAATCGGATACAGCCCTAGCCCCCAGTCTGCTGCTGCCACCTGCACTTTCAACTCGGCTGCAACGCTGGAGTGTGTGAGGTCACAGGAGCCAGAAGGAGAGAGCGGTCAAGGATTGTCAGTTAGGTTAATGCTACTGAGAGGTTGAAATTGGGATCTGAGTTGGGGGAAAAAGAGGTTAGGTCATTGGTGATCTTCAAGAACAGTTTTCATAGGCAGGTAGAGGCAAAAAGCAAATTGAGCGTGACTGAGGATGTAGAAGACACACCAGCTCTCTTTTACTTCTAAAGCAACAGGAAGAGAAAAGCGAGGGTGGCATAGAGCAGGATCATGAGAAGGAAGTGCTATGCGGATAGCTGTGCTTGAACGTTGTGGTCGATGCAGCTGCAAGACAGAGGGGGGGTTAATGAATGAAACCAAGGCCTGGAGAAGGGACCCATTCACCGGCAGAGAAGATAGTAATAAATGGTATCACAAGATGACACATAAAAAATGAGCAACATTTCTTCCTCTGAGCTAAAGGAGAAAAGTCAGAGGGCTATGATGTCAGTAAAGGAGGTGATGGGCTAATTACTCACTGAGCATTGAAAACGTGAGGGGCAGGACTAGAAGAGAATGAAAAAGATTCAGTAAGTAAAGATCTAGAAAAAGGAGCCTAGAGCAGCATTGGGAAAAGAGAAAGACTTCAGTGATTGGTGTGAATTTGCAGCAAAGAGTTTCTCCAGCTCCCTCACAAGACGTCAAAACAGAGAAACTGGGTCAGAGACTGAGAATTAGCAAAACCAAGGCAGTAAAAGAGCTGGGTAAGTCATTTCAGGGGTCTGATGAGAAATTCAGTGAAGTAATTGACCACAGCCACATAGATAGTCAATGAAATACAAGGCCGGGAAGAGTCTAGGAACAACAAACTTAAGCAAAGGCAATGAACAAGTTCATTAGGAATTTTTTTTAAATAGAGGAAGTACAAGAAATGAGGAGGTTTTCTGTGAACAGAACTTCAATATTCTAGACCTTGGCAATGAAGAACTGAGTGATAAGAAGAAACATCCATGGTGTGTTTTTAGTTATAGGTGAATAAAGTAAATGTGGAGATAAACTGAATTGGAGTTGAGGCTGAAAATTTTTAAGGTCATTATACTGGAAAAGTATTAATACCTAGACTAGGTCTTCAAGGATGATGGTAGCTATGATTTATAAGGGCTATGAGCCTGATGCCAAGGAACTGCTGTTAAATCATTCTTGTTGAAATTATATTTATTGGAAGAATTTAGTATAGCTTAGTAACACATACATTTTTGAAAATTATACAGACTCTTTAGTGAGGCTGATTTTTTTTTTTTTTTTTTAACTTTCAGATGTGAGTTCTGGTAGCTCAATGGATTGGGCCTACAAAAATGGAATACCCTACACATTTGCTTTTGAGCTGCGTGACACTGGGCATTTTGGATTTTTACTCCCAGAGGTGCTCATCAAACCCACCTGTACAGAGACCATGCTGGCTGTGAAGAATATCACAATGCACCTGCTGAAGAAATGTCCCTGAGAGGGCCCGGCAGTCAGGTCAGCCGCCAGAGAAAGAGCTGACTGTGCACAGGAGCCGCTCGGCAGTGGATGAAAACTTTTTAAAGAGAGGGGCAACTGCTTGGAGCGAACATATCTGTGGACTTTTAAAGGAATTTCTCATGCGATTCAACTCTCTGTGGCAATAAAAATGGTAATAAAATAAAAATAAGAGCACAGCCTGTTTTGTTGTAAGCAAAAGCACCCACTTTCTACCCCATTAGAATCCCAGTTGATTAAGGTGGGGGATATTTTCAAATCCTTCTGTCTCGCGAAATGTACAAATTGAGGAGAGCACTTCAATAAATCTGTTCTCAATTAAGATCCACCAATGATGTTTAGTCACTTGGTCCTTTTGAAATGGAAATATTTGAAATGGAAAGAACTATATTTCCTAATACAATAAATACAAAATTTTCAAGACTTCAAATTATTCACAGCTTTATCCCCTGGCATTAGTGTACCATATACCCACATAGCAAGATGGAACACTTGTGTGTCAACTCTGAGAGCACCACTTTTAAAATAGGGGAAAACATGGTTTGAGGTGCCAGACACAGCAGTAAGAGCTCCACATAATAGTCTCACCTTGTTCCTCAAACACTGTGAGGTAGATACTACTATTATCCTCATTTTTCAAATGATAAAATGGAGGCTTAAAAAGGAGATGTGGACTTTTATTTCCAGGAATATGACAGGACAGTTATCTATCTGGATTGCTGGAAATAACACAAACTTCTGAGGAAAAAATGTAATTCTTTAAATCATCTTTAGCACATCAGACAACAAGTCAGGGCATCTCAGGCCAGGCACTGAGTGAAGGCAGGAACCTAGAAAGCTAAGTGGTGCCGCTTTATCCTGAGAGCTTCTGGCATACCAGGTGAGTGCAGACTCATTTCCACAGCATTTGGAAAAGGACAGCAGAGAACAAAACCCAAGGCTCCTCCAAGGTGGAAAGTTTAATAGCAGATTCTCCTACCAGGAACTCTGGGAATTCCAAGGGTAAATTACAAATAACCCCCATACTACTTCCAATGGATCACAAGGAAAATGGATAATTTCAAATTCTGGCAAGAGTAAAGAAGGGAGAAATTACCCCTGAGAATTTGAAACCACGCGTCAACATTCACCTGTTTCTGGCCCAAATTCAGACTACCGAGATCCTCCGCTTTTCTTTTCTTTTTTTTTTTTTATCCTCACCCCAGGACATTTTTTTCCATTTTTTGTTCATATAGAGTGGGAGGGAAAGAGAGAGAGAGAGAGAGAAACATTGACGTGAAAGGGACACATCAAGTGGCTGCCACCCGCACGACCAACCAGGGCCAGGGACAAACTGCAACCGAGGTACATGCCCTTAGCGGGAACCGAACCCGGGTCTCTCCAGACCACAGGCCAATGCTCCAACCACTGAGCCAAACTGGCCAGGGTGATCCTCCACTTTTCAAAAGTTCACTTTACACCACTTTGGTTTTACAAAAGACCTACATTAGTACCTGTTTCACTAACGAAAGAAATCTAGAGGGTTTTCAAAAAAAGTGAAAATCGCATTTAGCAATTATTTTGCAGCCAGCTGTTAAAGAGACAGTTCACACCCTGAGCTTCAAGAGCAGCCCCACCAAGCTCCTTCCCGGGGAACCACACTCAGCATCTCAGCATCAAGCCGCCAGCCCACTGAACGGTGTCTGTGATCATCTGTGCTCCATCTCGATTTATTTTGTGCATCCATTAGCAAGCTGTGTCCTGAGGAAATTGCTTCTTCGCTTTATGCCATTTCAGCTTTTGAAAGGCTTCAGAGGAACAAGCTACTGTTGGATAGTGGGGGAAACCTTTACCTAAATGGTCTGATAAACCTCTAACCAAGAATTTAATTCAGATTAATCTCAGGTTGGTAATACCCTCCAGGTATTTGGTAGAAGCAAATGCAAATCCTCTCAAAGGATTTATCTGATGTATCATGAACACCAGGATAAAGAGATGAACCTAAAATCTTCCAGAGAGGAAAAAAAAAATGATGATAAAGGAGTGAGGACCTGGATGGCATAAAATGTCTCAACAGCACCACTGAAGCTTGAAGCAGTGGAGAAGTGCATCAGAGTTTTGAGGAAAATGTCTATCCTAAAATCTAGACCCAGCAAAATAATCAATGAAATGTCAGGGTAGATTATTTTCATAAAATTGAGGTCCATCCCAGCCAGTGTGGCTCAGTGGTTGAGCATCAACCCATAAACCAGGAGGTCATCTGTTCGATTCCTGGTCAGGGCACATGCCCAGGTTGTGGGCCAAATCTCCATTGGGGGGCATGTAGGAGGCGACCAACTGATGTTCTCTCTCATCGATGTTTCTATCTCTCTCTCTCCTTCTCCTTCCCTCTCTCTAGAAATCAATAAAGAAAAAAAATGTTTTTTAATTGAGGTCCTAAATTATGTACCTTTCCCAGGAAACTTATGAAGAATATGCTGTATTGAAATGAGGGAATAAAGCAAGAGAAAGATGTAGGATCCCACAAAATAGGAAGCCCAACATAGGAGAAAGGCATGGGGAAAAAAATCTAAAGACAATGGTGAAGGGGTAACATCTGTATGTCAGGATTCGAGAGAAACTAACTTGGAATAGGAGGAGGAGTACTGAAGACTTCAGATTAAATTCTCCAAGATGAATATGAAACAGAACACTTAGGGAGGAAGATGGCAGCGGGCAGGACCAGAGGGAGGGTGAGTGCATAAGAGAGTGAGCTAGTGTGTGAGAGAGAGTGAGTGGACGTGAAGGTGGACAACCAAACTCACAGTGCAGAGATGCAGAGTAGAAGTTTCCTGTGCTGTGGACAAGATGCAGCCGGCTACCGTGGTAAGCGGCTCTTCAGGGCACTTCTCCCTGTGCCACAGGGAAGTCCCACCATTTTGGAAGATTCCAGGTCTTCCCTGGGAGGAGGCAGTGGGAGTGGCTAGGGCAAAGCAACCTGAGCCCACCAGCTCACCTGGCCCCATCAGACCAGTGGATCCTCTGCGTCAACAAAGACCAGTGCACAGTAGTGGACCTGTCAAGGTGCCTGCTGCAGAAATCGGAAATGGCCAGGAGCCCAGCACCATCCCCCACAGTAGCAGCTCAATCAGAGTTGAGATATACCCTCAGCAACAGAGGGTGAGGAGCAGACATCTATCCCCAGGTAACAGAAGCACAAACCAGCAGCTGAGACCCATCCCAAAAAACTACAGCAAAGGCTGAGCAGGAGCGGAGCCCCACTGGGTGGCAGTGCTCCCCAGCCACCAGCTGCGGGACCTGGGACACCATAGGCCCTGTGCAACACAGCTGCCCACAAGAGCAGTAGGGAGCCAGGGCTCCAGAGGGACCTGTGCAACCCAGTGGCCCACAAGATAGGTGTGGAACCGGATCTCCAGAGGGGACTGTGCAGTCCAGCTTCCACAGCTTGTAGGGAGCGTGGGCTCCAACAAGGCCTGTACAACCCAGCTGACCACAAGATCGGCAGGGAGCCAGGGCTCCAGTGGGGACTGTGCAAAACAACTGCCCACAGTGTGGGCAGGGAGTGCAGCTCCAGCAGGGCCTGAGCAATACAGCTATAGGTGGCACCAGAGACCAGCAGGGAACACAGTTTCAGAGGGGCCCATGCGATCCAGCAGCAGCACCTATCAGGACACACCAATATTAACCCCCAGTAGTCAATCCTCCAAGATCCACAGCAGGCAAGAGGCAACACACAACAAAACAGTCTGGGACACACAGCAGCCTTATTTGATATACAGTGAGCTGCCTACACATCCAAACATCCCTTACCGGGTCTAGAGCTACAAGACAGCTAAAATGGGGAGACAAAGAAATAACACCCAAAGGGGAAAAAAAAGAGGAATCACCAGAAAAGGAACTACAGGAAATGGAAGAAAGCAACTTGTCAGATAAAGAATTCAAAGCAATGATTTTAAGGGTGCTCAAACAATTTGGTGAGAACTACAAGCAACTTAATAAGAATTATGAAGAGCTCACTGGGAGCTACTTCATCTTTAAAAAAAAGTAGAAGCTATGCATAAAGAGGTAGAAGCTATGCATAAAAATCAAGAGAAAATAAAGAATGACATAGCTGTTATGAAAAATACCTTAGAAGGGTTCAATAGTAGATTAGAAGATACTGAAGACTGAATCACTGACTTAGAAGATGAGGTAGAGAAAAACACCCAAATAGAGCAGCAAATAGAGCAGCAAATAGAAAAAAAGTTTAAAAAGCAAGAGGATAATTTAAGGAGCTGTGGGACAATACAAAACGTAACAACATTCACATTATAAGAGTACTGGAAGGAGAAGAATCAGAGAAAGGAATAGAGACTGGTTTAAAGAAATAACGACAGAAATCTTCCCTAAACTGGTGAAAGAAAAAGTCACACAAGTCCAGGAAACACAGAGAGTCCCAAGCAAGATGAACCCCAGAAGACCCGCAGTTAGACACATCATAATAAAAATGGAAAACATTAAAGACAAAGAAAGAATCTTAAAGGAAGCAAGAGAGAGACAGAAAGTTACCTACAAGGGACCTTGCATTATACTGTCAGCGGATTTCTCAATAGAAACACTGCAGGCCACAAGGAAGTGGCGTGAAGTGTACAAAGTAATGCAAGGCAAGGGTCTGACTCCAAGATTACTCTATCCAGCAAGGCTATCATTCAAAATTGAAGGAGAAATAAAGAGCTTCATGGATTAAAAAAAAAAAGAGCTAAAGGAATTTACCACCACCAAACCAGTACTGCAAGAAATGCTGAAGGGACTGTTGTAAGAAGAAGAAACAGAGAAAGAGAAAAAGAGAGGAACACAGGAATAAAATTATAATGACAACTAATAACTATCTATCAATAATAACCTTAATTGTAAATGGCTTAAATGCTCCAATCAAAAGACATAGGGTAGCTGATTGGATAAGAAAACATGACCCATATATATGCTATCTATAAGAGACCCGACTCACACAGGATGAAAGTGAAAGGATGGAAAAAAATTTCCAAGCAAAAAGAAATGAAAAAAAAAGCTGGTGTAGGAATACTCATATCTGACAAGATAGGCTTCAAAACAAGGCCATAATAAGAGACAGAGAAGGTCACTACATAATATTAATGGGATCAATCCAACAAGAGGATATAACCCTGGTAAACATATACACACCAAATACAAGAGCACCAAAATATATTTTAAAAAACTTCTGGAAGACTTCAAGGGAGAGATCAATAGCAATACAATCATAGTGGGTGACTTTAACATGCCACTGACACCACTGGATAGATCTTCTAGACAAAAAATTAACATGGACATACAGTCCTTACAAG